ATCATGAATATTTTTTACTATATGATTGGAATCCATTTGTGAATGCTTTTTTTTTTTTTTGCATCTGTGTTTGTTAAAAATAATTTTTAAATTAATGCAGAGAGGGACTTCCTTGGCGGTCCAGTGGTTAAGAGTCTGCCTTTACAATGCAGGGGACACAGGTTTAATCCCTGGTCTGAAAACTAAGATGCCACCTGCTGCAAAGCAGCTAAGTGGCAACTTGAGAGTCCATGCAACAAAAGATCCTACATGACACAATGAACAATTGCCCTAAGACCCAATGCAGCCAAACAAATTAATGAACATCAGTGCAGAAGGTGGTAAAGCTTCACATTTCTATGGTACACTGCAGTTTTTGTAAGTCATTTCACCTATGTCATCTCACTTGAGAATACATGATAATTGGAGCTGACTCTTTTTTAAAAATAATAATAAAATAGATAATTAAGTGTTAGAAAATATCTACAAATGGAAACTGCAGGTTTCTCTTAGTGTTGACTAAATTCTAAAGGACAACCCATGAAACCAAAATGAGAATCAGAGGAGAGAGAGGATACAGAGAATTGAAAAAGGATTTTTGCTTGCATGACTTCAGAGGGATTTTATCACTCTCCAAGATGTACGTGGAGGAATAGGACTGCCCTCTCCGTAAAATATCTAGCCCTCTGCTGGTTTTCTAAGCATTCTGTTGACAGAGTTTAAACAACCTGGTTTGGAATCCATAAGTAAAGAATTTCCCTGTCATTCAACATTCTTTGGCTTTTTGAACTTTTGATTCCATATTTATCTGCATGTACCAAATTGTGCTGTGCTAAGTTGCTTTGGTCGTGTCCGACTCTGTGCAATGCTACGGACTGCAGCCCGCCAGGCTCCTCTGTCCATCTGATTCTCCAGGCAAAAATACTGGAATGCGTTGCTATTTCCTTCTCCGAATTAGATGATGACAGTTGAGCCCACGCCCAGGAAAAAGAAGCACTAAAACTCTGGGCTGCTCCTGCTGTTTGTCTGGCAGCTGGGTCATCTGTGTCCTGGTCACGGGACAGGACTGAAGAGCTTTTCCAGGATACACGATAATTACACAGCAGTGAGATGGCTCAAAAGTGGAGTGCCTTTGGGAGGAAAATAGATGGTCGGCTGACATCATTTTGCAAAAAGAGGCATCAGAGTAAACTGTTGTTATTTAGTCGATGCAGTCGTGTCCAACTCTTTGTGACCCATGGACTATAGCCCGCCAGGTTCCTCTGTCCATGGGATTCTCCTGGCAAGAATACTGGAGTGGGCTGCCATGCCCTCCTCCAGAGGATGAACTCTCATCTCCTGCTTGGCAGGTGGATTCTTTACCACTGAGCCACCTGGAAAGCCCTAGAGTAAACATAGAATCGCCCCAATAGCAGCGTCTCTTTGTAGATTTTACCCATATAAAATATGCTCTATTAACTTCTCTCTCCTGAGCCTCAGAGCCTCCTGGGTGTCATAGATTTGATACTTAGGGCAGCACTTACCTCTGAGGAGGGCTCTCAGCTGGGCTTTCAGTGCTCTCTCCCCTGTCACCCTGCTTCTCCCTTTCTCCCTGCCCAACCCCCCGCACATACACACACATACATACCCTCAGAAGCAATTACACTCCAAGCTACCTGGAGAGAATCTTCCGGCTTCTCTGGGACACTGGCTGCATCTTCCAAAATGAAGCAAAGATCTAGGAATTGTCTGAAAACCCATATTGGTACACACATCTCATTTGAACAGATTAGGTCCTCTAGCAGATTTTGTGCATCGCTCAGACTGCTCAAATAATTCATCAAGTCCCTTTGTACCATCTTTAGACACCCTAAATGCCAAAATTCTTAATGACTGTTTCTATTGGTATAAATGGATACCTTCAGTGTCTCTGTTTACCATGCACAATAAGTAGCCTAAAGTACAGGGAGAAATATCTCAGAATCCAATCTATTTTTTACAAGCATTGGCCCTAGAAATTCATTATAAACATTGAAAATGAATAAGGTTGAGGTCTAGATGAAAAGAACTGCACCACTTCCATTTTCAGTCTTTTCAAGCAGATATCATATATCATAAAGGTGCAGCAGTGAGGTAAACAACACAGGTAGTGTAACTGAGCACTTAAGTTTAAACTAAGTGCTTTAAAATAGTAAATTATACCTTACAGGAAGAAAAGATGTTTCCTTGTGTCCTGAAAGTGGGTGATGGGTAATTTAAAACTCTCCAGATATCCGAAATTTGTTTACCTATTTTTAACATGCTGAACTGAAGTTTGAAAAAAACTGTCCAGTTTCAAAGCCCAGTTCTTCACTGTCAGGCTCTGTGATGTATCTCTTTTTTAAATGGTCTCAATATAAATAGATAATAGGAATATTGTAAGGAGGTAAATAACTGAGGAAAGAGGCTACCGAATAGTAAATATGTTAAAAGCTTCACAGCTAAAAGAGCCTGGTATTAGGTCAGCAAAAGATAGATCCACCTTACAGTAAAGAAAAAAATCCAAACATAGGCCCCAGTATGTCTGAGAATTTAGGAAAAAAACAAATTGCATCCTACCTGTCTCCTCTCTTCCCATCATGTTAAATGCAGTGTTGTTATTGAACTACATTCAGATTGCTCAAGATTTAAATGTAAAAAGTAGAACTACATTTAAAGTATAGCTGAAAGAAATTTTAGATGAATATTTCTATCATCTTTGATGGAGGAGAACTTCCTATGCAGAGAATCAAAACTAGAAGTCATAAGGGAATATATTGATGAAATTTGACTACTAAAAAAGAGTAAAATTGGTCTAAATCTGAGCATGCATGAGTGCTGAGTAACTTCAGTCGTGTCCAACTCTGTGCGACCCCATGGACTGTAGCCTGCCAGGCTTCTCTGTCCATGGGTTCTCCAAAATCTGAGCATACAAAGTCTTATATAAATAATCCCGAGACCTCATCTTAAAAAGAAAAATAATCTCATTCTGGAACCTTGAATAGACTAACTTCAAAAATATAAATTTAAAAAAAAATCAAGTGAAAACTTATGATCTATCACTGATTAAATATCTACAAAGTGGCTACAGTACTGGGATGAACTTCACCAGACCAGATTAGTCCAGTATGCAGAGAGGATCGTATTTCTATAAGAGGAAAAACCTGCCAGAAGCTTTAATTCCTCACAAAACCTCAGACCACATACAGCCATTAGCCAGAGTAAACATGACGAGAGAACAAGCATCAGGATTGTCAGTAAATTCTGCAAAGTTGAAATCTAAGCCATCGGTTTCAATAATTCCCAGAAATAATGGCCAAATCTAAACATTGTGTAGTTTTGTGATTTTTGCAGTTGAGCCAGTGCAAAGGTTTTAGGAATTAAAAAAATCATATAATTGATGTCTCATACATAGACACCTTTGTATGTAGCTAGCTTTTAAAAGTACTCATTTGGCCTAAGTGAAATTCCATCAAGGAATTTAGGATGGAAAAACTGCCTGGAGATCAGCTCAAGGGAAAGTCCTAAATAGCTTCTAAGAAACTTGCAACACCCTAAACAAATATAATCTGGTAATTCTGTCTCACTGCCTGACCTCAGTGCATGGATAAGGCCAGCTGTAAGCAGCTGAAGGGATGTTTAACTCTGTCCAGAACCTACATCCTAATTGCAAGTTTGCAGTTTAATTTGCAGTGACCTCAAGTAATAGGACACTTCCATGTGGAAATGGGGCTCATGAAGAACATTGTAGGATGGATTGGAGTTGAGGCGCTCCCTGAAAATTAACCTCGGGGTTGTTATTCTCATCTGAGCCGCTAGTGGCAAGTTGAGTTGGCTCATTTGGAGCTGATATTATATCCTTACCAAAGACCCCTTACAGAGGCCTCTGAACTCCTCACCAAGAGGCTGTGCCTCAGAGTGTCATAAAGAGAAGGGAAAATGACCCAGATATCTCAGACTGAAAAAAGGTACCACTTTTGCTTCAAACTGTCCAATAACAGGGGCTCCGCGGTAAGAGTATTTGAGAGCGGAGAGCAAACCGTCCTGGAATGATCGGTACAGTCTCTCTCATCTCTTTGCTTGGCATGAGGATACACAAGCTGTTTACATTGAATTAGGTAAAAAAAAAAAAGCAGAAGTTAATTCTGAGACTGTTATTTTATGTTGGCAGCTCATATTAGAGCTTGTTAAGAAAACTTCTTTAGCAGAAACAGAGTCACAGATATAGAAAACAAACTTGTGGTTTCAAAGGGGAGACAGAAGTGGGCAGGGACAAATTAGGGGTGTGGGATTAACTAATTATTATGTATAAAACAGATAAACAACAAAGACACATAATGTAACACAGGGAATTATAGCCATTATCTTGTTAATAACTCACAATGGAATATAAGCTACAAAAATTCTGACTCACTGTGCTATATACCTAAAATTAATACAATATTATAAATCAACTATACTTTAATAAGAAGAAAAATCTGCTTTGTGATTGCTTTGGATACTGTAGGAGAAGCCTGTATTGGAAATGATTAATAGAAATCTGTAACTGAGAGCTCCTAGTGTCTGTGAAGGGGAAGGAGAGAACTCATAGACAGATGGTATAAAATTGGGTATTTTATCCTTTGCCACGGGGCACAAAGTGCCTTTTCCCCTCTGTGGAGGGATTGTGAAATGTAACATAGAACTGCAAACTGGGCTGGTTGGGAGGGTCCATCTTTCCTAGACCAAGGCCAACAACACCTTTGGGAGCTAGAAAGGAGCAGGATCGTGACCTCGCTGGTACCAAAAACATGAGTTTGTTTTAGGTTCTTTTCTCATATATAAGACAGCAGCATCCCACAGTAGCTGAAGAAAGGAAAATTCAACTCCACTTCTGGCTGTTAGATCTGAGAATTAGACCTGGCTATTTGGTCTGGCATAGACTCATTGAAAGAAGTATCATGATTTGGTGCATGGTATTTTGTTCAGACACTTTACTGTGATCTTCTTTCTCTCATCCCCTTACACTTGTCCTCTCACAACAGGTGTGGAAGACATCGTGGCAATAATGATTCCTGAGCCCAAAGGGAGGGAGATAGTAAGCCTGCTGGAGAGAAACGTCACTGTGACAATGTACATCACCATTGGGACCCGGAACTTGCAGAAATACGTGAGCCGTACCTCGGTTGTGTTTGTATCCATCTCCTTCATCGTCCTCATGATCATTTCCCTTGCCTGGCTGGTCTTCTATTATATCCAGAGGTTTCGATATGCAAATGCCAGGGACAGGAACCAGGTGAGTAGCAGAAAGTTATAAGAGAAAAAACTTTAAAAATTATTACCAAAGTAAGACATTATTGTGTAAACTTTGGAGCTCACAGAAAATACCATGACCAAAACCAGACGTACCTACAATGCCCCTACTCAAGATAAACACTGTTAACATTTGCTGCAGAGGTTTTCAGATCTTTTCCAGGTATACATATTTTAATGTCTTGCTAACATTGTTCTGTAACATGGAGATACTTTGTCCCACATTCCTGTTGCTCATTTGTGGGACAGTTATTTACTGTTTAGACAGTGGCTCAGTTGGTGAAGAATCAACCTACAATGCAGGAGACTGGGGTTCGATCCCTGAGTTGGGAAGATCCCCTGGAGAAGGAAATGGCAACCCACTCCAGTATTCTTGCCTGGGAAATCCCATGGACAGAGGAGCCTGGCTGGCTGTAGTCCATGGGGTCGCAAGAATCAGACATGACTTGGCAACTAAACCACCAGACACAAAATAAAGGGGGGGAAGAGGACAGGAGCTAAGATTATGTCAATTGTATCAGCATAATGTGGAAAGAGAATTTCCTCCTTGAGAACAGAAAGAAACAAAAATAGATAAATAAAAATATTTTAAAAGCAATAAATTTTGGAACAGGTAAAGCATACTCTTAGTATAAAATGCAAAAGGTATAACCCAGGTCTCCCTCATTGCAGGCAGATTTCTTTGATATTTGAGCTGCCTGAGAGGCCCGACATGGTATGCAATGAAAAGTAATTACATTCCCATGTCTGTCCCTCAGTTATGCAGTTATTCTCTCTGGAATATCTTCTCATACAAGGAATCTTATGTGCTTACAAACACCTGTGTGTGTGTGTATATGTGTGTGTGTTTAAACAAATAAGAACACATATAAATCTGTACCAGTATTTCTCACTTCATCCTAGAGATTAATTCCTATCAACACTCAATCCAAACTGTCTTCTCATTTCTAATGACTGTATAGGCAGACCTTGGAGATACTGTGGGTTTGATCCCTGACTGCTGCAATGAAGCAAATATCTCAGTAAAGCAAGTCGACAGGAAATTTTTGGTTTCCCAAAGCACATCAAATTATGTTTACACTATACTGTAGTCATAACATTATATCCAAAAAAGTGTACGTACCTTAATTTTAAATACTGCTAAAATGCTAACCATTATCTGAATCTTCAGCACATCATAATCTTTTTGCAATAATAACATCAAAGATTACTGACCACATATTACCATGACAAATATAGTAATAATAAACTCTTGCAGCATTGTGAGAATTTCCAAAATATAACCCAGAGATACAAAGAGCAAATGCTGTCAGAAAAATAGCACTGATAGACTTGCTCAATGCAGGGTTGCCACAAGCCCTCAATTTATAAAATACACGATATCTGTGAAGCACAGTAAAACGAGATATGCCTGTGTAATGTTTTATTTTCTGCATATGCTACATTTATTTAGCCAGCTCCTATCAATGAATGTATTTTCCCTTACCAAAAAACAAAATGAAGCATACACACACACAAATGTGCATGTGACACAGCCCATTTGTGAGTATATCTGCATGGTAAATTCTGAAAGTTTTATAGCTAGGGCAATGGTAGGTGTATTTTAAACTATAATATGCTGTGCTTAGCCGCTCAGTCATGTCCGACTCTTTGCGACCCCATGGACTGTAGCCCACCAGGCTCCTCTGTCCATGGCATTCTCCAGGCAAGAATACTGGACTGGGTTGCCATTCCCTTCTCCAGGGAATCTTCCCAACCCAGGGATCGAATCCAGGTCTCCCACATTGTAGGAGCATTCTTTACCGTCTGAGCCACCAGGAAAGCCTTCAAACTATAATAGATACTGCCAAATTGTCTGCCAGAAAGGTTGAACCCATTTATACGTGAACCAGCAATATAGTAATACTGACGCTAATATAAACAACATTCATGCAGTAGTATATTAACAGTGCTTATACTAACATATGGGGCTTCCCTGGTGGCTCAGTGATGAAGAATCCGCCTGCCAATGAAGGAGACGCGGGTTTGATCCCAGGGCCAGGAAGATCCCCTGGAGCAGGAAATGGCAAGCCATTTCAGTATTCTTGCCTGAAAAATCCCATAGCCAAGGAGCCTGGTGAGCTATAGTGCATGGGGTCATAAAGAGTCAGACACGACTTAGGGACTAAACAACAAATACGAACACATACAACGATGTGCTAATAACAAACACTGTTTCCAGTATCCTCACCATATAAATGTTATGGCTTTTTTTATTGTTTGTGATTTAATAAGATAAAAATGGTATCACATGTTTCTGATCACAAGTTCCATTAAATAGAAAAAGTTAGTTTTTTTTTCGATGAAGTATCTGCTTATATTATTAGACCACTTTTCGGTTGAGTTGTTGGTCACATTGACTGATGTGTATAAGCTCTTTACTGGTCAGAGTGGTTAACTTTGGGACTGCTACAGATTCCGTGTTTTTCCTCTAAACTTATCATTGTCTCTGATGTATCTTTGGGGTTTGGGGCCATGCAGAAATTTGGGGGTATTACATAACTGAATCTACCGATTTTTTATAGCTCCCAAGTTTTGTGTAATAAGATCTTCCATAGTCCAAGATTATAGAAAAACAGTATCTCATCCACTGCTTTGTTTTTTTCACTTTCACAATTAAAACTCTAATCTACAGAGAACTTATTTTGATTTAAAGAATCAAGTATAGAGCCAACATTATTTTTTTTTTCAGATTGCCTACTGGTTTTTGTAACTGGTGTTTATTGAATAATTAATCTTTTCCTTCTCATATGCAGAACCTCCCCCATTTAGCATATATTAAAGCTCCATATGTATTTGGTTCTGTTTCTATGCTCTATAAAATGTAGCTTTAATCTGTCTCTTCACATTCTGATACCATACTATTTTGAATATTTTAGCACCATAATATGCCTCATATCTGTTCATGCTAATCTTTTATTGCTCTGTCTTCACTTTTTTCATGTGTATCTTTATATGAATTTAGAATCACTTTAAGCTAGTTTTTTAATTTATAGAATAATTTAGAAGGAATCTATAACCTAATGATGTTGAATCTTCCTATCCAAGAATGATATATGTTTTCCCTTTATTCAACTATTCTTTTTATTCCCTAATAGCATTTTAAATATCCTCATTTAATCCTGCACATAAGAAATGTTTATTCCTAGTTCAGTGTGTTGCAATTAGAAATGAAACCTTTTTAATATGGGAAGGATTTTGATTTTTTTTATTTTGCACATTATTATAATTTAGTAATTTATATATTCAATAATTTATTTAAAATTTATTATCTTGATATTAACAGTGATATTATGTAGTATATATTAAATACGGGCATGTTATATGAGCTGTCTGTATATTTACATACATAATCTTCTTAGTAACCTTATAGTGGATAATTTTATTATCCCCATTTTACAGAGAAGGAAACAGAGAGTTTAAATAACTAGCCCAAGGTCACACAGCTAGTTATTGTTTAATAGACAGCAAATGAACCAATATCACAGCTTCAGAACATACGCTCTTAATCAGTACATTATAGTGTTTGTAATTGTTTGAATTAGTTTACCAGAATTACACTAATAATATGGAGTCAACTGATCATTTATTACTTCTTTCAAATTTTCAACCTTTTTTCTTCTGTTGTCTGGTTCCACTGACTTGTGCGTCTAGAGCCAACTAAAGTAATAGTGGTAATAGTGAGCATACCACTCTTCATTCAGTACTTATGGGAGCATTCTGAATTTAATGGATTGTTTTTATCATTTCTCAATTTTATTCTTTCCCCATGCAGTCTTCTAGGTCGAGATATATATTTAACATGTTATGTAAATGTAAACATAGTCCTCTTTCATTCAGAGTTTTAATCAGGAATCTATTCTTAATTTTAACAAATGCCTTTCAACAGCAATAGTTCTGACTTTTCTCTTTTGATCTTTTAATATTAATTGTAGTTTAAATTAATGGATTTCCCAATATTGAGCCGTCTTGAATTTCCAGCACATAGCTAATCTTCTAATGTGTGCTGAATTGTTTCGTGCATACCTTATTTAGCACATTATTTACTTGTTACCTTGATATTCACATGTGAAATTTGCCTGCAGTTTACTTTTTAAGTGTGTTTCTATTTATGAGACTGCTGGGTCTTCGTTGCTTTGTGCAGACTTTCTCTAGTTGCAGTTAGCTGGGCGCTCCTCTGTTGCAGCACTCTCACTGCAGGCTTCTCATCGTGGTGGCTTGTCTTGTTGTGGAGCACAGCTCTAGGAGCACCGGCTTCAGTAGTTGCAGCAGGCAAGCTCAATGGTTGCAACTCATGGGCTGTAGAGTACTGGCTCAGTATTTGTGATGTCCAGGCTTAGTTGCTTTGTGGCATAAGGGATCTTTCCGGACCAGGGATCGAACCCATGTACCCTGCATTGGCAGGCGGATTCTTATCCACTGCGCCACCAGAGAAGTCACAGTTTACATTTTATCATGGTTAGGCAATGGTGCTACTGATTTTATAAGAAGAATTTGGAAATTTTGCTCCATTTTCTGTAGTTGGATTGTAGTGTCCAACATGGCAGTCGCTAACCATGTGTGACTATTTAAATTTAAATTAATTGTAATAAAATTAAATTTAAATTTGTGTTCCTGAGTCATACTAGCTACATTTCCAGTGGCTTCTGGATGGCAGGGCATAGATAGGACATTTTCATCATCTTGGAAAGTCCTGTAGGATGGTCTAATTATAGAACATTTTAAAGAGTGCTAGAATAGCTGATCCTTAATGTATTATAGGGCTTCCCTGATAGTTGGTAAATAATCTGCCTGCAATGCAGGAGACCCCGGTTCAATTCCTGGGTTGGGAAGATCCCCTAGAGAAGGGATAGGCTACTCACTCCAGTATTCTTGGGCTTCCCTTGTGGCTCAACTGGTAAAGAATCCACCTGCAATGTGGGAGACCTGGGTTTGATCCCTGGG